GGGAAAGAGGATTAAAAAACTGCTTCTGGGGCAGCTGAGGTGCAGACCCACCTAGTCCCTGTTGGCTTCCATTGTCTGTAGGAAACAAAATGGAGCAGCTCCTGCCCCTTCCATCCTTCCCTGACATTTGTGGGATGATGTCAAATAACCCCACAGTGTTTCTTTGTGTAGGCAATTTGTTTATGGTTGCGGCACAATGTGAGCTGGTTACACACAGGAAGCCACCACAGATGGCTATTGCAGGCACATTGCCTTGGCCGGGGAAGGGATTAAGCCAAGCTTTGGAGTAGCTGGGTTTGTTTTTCTTTAATTTAACACTTTAGAACAAGTTCCTAAACCTTGAAGTGTTTGGAGGCAAGTGTTTTCCGGCAGTGCGCCCTGTGCGGCTCTGGAAAGCAAGCTCAGAGCCTGCTCACACATCTGGCAGGCCCACGTAGGAAGGAGTTTCCATCCAAGGCACTTGAGAAGTCTGTGAGGTTGTCAGAGCCACGGGCAGCTCGCCCATGTGGGAGCAGAGACGTGTGGATTTGGTACCTCCATAGCTCCCGCTGGCTCAGCGGCATCCTGCTCCATGGGCCCTTGCTGGCCACAAAATCTTTTCCTTCAAAGCCTCCTTTCTGCTTCTGGGCAGCAGTACCCGTTGGTGGGAATACCCAGGACAGGGTGGGCTGCTTTGAACCTGCATTTGATGATGCTGGAGTGACCTGCAAAGGGACTGACCTTGCCTTAGACTGCTCTGCAGTGCTGGTGCCCAGCTGGACCCTCTTCTGCAGGCCACCAGGGGCAATCGTGAAGGCATGAAGGACCTTGTGTGATCCGTAACTTTCAACATTGCTGTGTCTGCAGAGAGAGACCTGCTCTTCTGCCTTGTCTTTCTGGGAGGAGTGAGTGGGGCTTTAGCCCTACATGCACTGAAATCCCATCCAGGATTTGCACGGAAGCCAATGGAAGCACTGAGAGCCAGAGCAGCATACCAGTGTCAGATGTCTGGGCTGTTTTGACCTGGGTGAGGAGAGGGGACACCTCGCTGTGAACAGAGGGACACTACTCTTGGGTCATGATGGCAGATGGGATGCAACGTATTTTGGGAAGAGCTTAGGCTGTGCACTCATCCTGCTGTGACCTCCAGCTCTGCTGTCTCACGTTCAGCAGCTATGCGAATTACTTGAAAAGTAAAAAGCTTGTTTCTTAGCTCCCCCTCCTTTCTTTTTCTTTCTCATATGTTGGTATTTCTAAAGGATCAAGGCCCTGTTTTTCCTGCCAGCCCTTGCTTGTGTTTAGGGAGGGGTTTGGCAGGCACCACAGGGATTTTCCAGCACTTGGACTCTTTTCAAAGGCTTATTTTCCATCAGTGTTGTTTATCCATTTCCTTCATTTTTTTGTTCAGAGCACAATTAAAGATTCCTGATAGAGTTCCTGAAGCAGAGGGGTTTAGCTGTTGGTTTGCTATCAGTCAGATACTTGGAGACACAACCAGCAACCACTCAGGCTACGCTTTTCTATGTGAAGCCAGGATTGCATCAAATGTCCACCCTTCTAGCTCCCTGTTCAGATAATCCGTAGCACAGAGAATCATCCCTGGTTATGATAATCTGCTTAAAGGGGGTTGGTGCAGCAGGCAGAAGTCCCAGTTCATGGTAAGGCAAATGGTTTGCAATTGTTGCTTTTGTGGAAACCTACAAGTTGATCTTCCCAGAGCTCTCAGCAGTGTTAAAGAAAACATTTATGACACAGTTACACAATAGTTTCAAAGAACTCCCTTATGATCGACCCAAGTGTACAATAGAAACACTCCTTCTTCCCTATCATCTCAATCAGTTTATATGAAAATCCTGGTGTACATATCTAAAAGATCTCATCCCCCAAAGGATGCCCTGTTGTTTTCAAGGGTCTGTTTTTACCTTAAATCATGCTTCTTTTATTTATTTCTTCTTCAGATTCCTGAAACAAAACAACCTCCGGTCCCCAAGATCGAATCCCCAGAGGGATATTACGAAGAGGCTGAGCCATACGATGTCTCTGTAAATGGTATATCACAGCTAACTCTCCGGGGGGGTTCATGTGGGACATGGAGGAGTTGAGGTTTATGAAAATGAGCAAATAGACATTTCTTACAGCTTTTGTGGGAAATCTGTTTTCTGATACCGGTCACACTTGATATTGCAGATCTAATGCTAGTTGGAAAGAAAAGGCAACTGAATTACTGTGGAGATAAGTAGTATGTCTGGGTTAATAGAACGTCACTGTAAAACATTATAAACCATTGTGGGGTCTCTTTGTCTTGATGGTTTTCTGGCAGATAGGCTGCAGCCAAACGCAGGTTTCTGTTCAGGAGTGAGTGGTGAAGCTGTGGTGGCTTGCATTTGTGTCCTGGTGCTCTAATTGTCCCTTTGGGGCTCAAAATCCATGCCTCTGTTGGTCTGTTAGATGTTTGTATAATTGGCTATTTATCCAGCTCTGTCTCTTGTGGCAGTTTAACTATCTGTAAACCTGATCAGGAAGCCACACTTCACATGAGGGGACAGTCTCTGGGCTCCCTCTTCACACACTTGATTCCTGCCTGGGTTGGCGCCTCTCAGCAATGTCCTCGGCAGTGCCGTGATCCCTGTGGGATCTCTATGGAGTCCCAAGCCCTTCAGAAGCAGACTGCAGCACACAGACTGAGCTCCCACATTCTCATGTTTTTAAGCAGTATTTCTGCATCCTTCTTTTGGCAAACACCCTTAAGTGAGAGATTACTTTCCTTTGGTCTGATAACAGAGCTGATCTTGTCATCACTTTATAATCCATTTAAGACCAAGTGAGACAGATTATATTGCTCTGCTGCAGAAGCAGATCTCTGCTCATCAGCCTTGACTGCAGCGAGTGGAGTGTAATGTTTTTCTTCCCTGTGAGAGTGCTGAGGCGCTGGCACAGGGTGCCCGGGGAAGCTGTGGCCACCCCATCCCTGGCAGTGTTCAAGGCCAGGTTGGACACAGGGGCTTGGAGCAACCTGCTCAAGTGGAAGGTGTCCCTGCCCGTGGCAGAGGTTGGAACTGGATAAGCTTTAAGATCCCTTCCAGCACAAACCATTCTGCAGTTCCATGACACAAGTGGCATGGGGCAAAGCTGAGCAAGGAGATCCAAGTCAAGCAAAGAAGTGAGAGTTAAGTGAATAAAAGCTTTAGATTTAAACCCTTGGCTCTTAAATCTGAGCTGCTCTGCGCCCTCGCCAGCCCCGGTGTGTACCACTGGGCTTTGAAGCTCCCTGGAAGGGAACCACCAGTGATGCTGCTGTTTGAAGTGGCCAGGGATTGATGTGTCTGAACATCCCTCGCTCTGTGTGTGCATCTTGCGCTCCTGGGCAGCTCGTAGCTCTGTGTGGATTGCTGTTGTCACAGAGTTAGCAGTTACAGTGCTAAACAAGAAAAGGGGAGGTGTAGAAAGATTTCTTTATCCCTGAACCACCCCGTTTTGGCTTCAACCAAATTACAGCAGTGAACAGGAGCATCACACCCAGCTCAGGTAGGAAAGGTGCAGGCTCATTGCGGCCAGTACCGTTTGGTGCAGAGGAGAGTTCCCCCCAGCTCTGCCATGTGTAGCTCAGTTTTGCTGCAATGCTCTGGGTTGTTTGGCTGAGGTCAGGGCTGTGATGTGGGGCACAGGGGGGTGAAGCCCTCAAGGACAGGTTGCTGCAGCCTTGTATTCACAGGGAGTTTCCAATTGCCTGCACTGTAAGATAAATGGAATTGTTTTTCCCTGCTGCACATTGGGAAAGTGGATAATGTGCTAAGAGCCATGGCATGTAAAGACACACACCAGATTAACTGGAGTACAGCCATGGATCCATGCAGGGAAACCCAGGTTACGTTATCCAGCGAGCTCCATAAACTCACATGGCGTTCAGAGCCTTGGCTGGCAGGAGTGATAAGCACACACCCAGCTTAAACCTCTCTGCTTCGCCTTGGTAACCTGCTGCTCAAGGATGCAAATCCACCCACCAGCCACTGAAATCCAGGCCAGCCAGATGCCTAAGGAGATCAGAGCCCTGCAAGAAGAGAAGAAAGCCTTATCATGGGAGCATTGTCAAAATGAGATAGTTCTGGGTGCCAAAGGGCAGTCTGTGGCTGCTATGAATAGCTGTTTTACCAAGCAGTATTGCAGCTTTAAGTGGACATAGGAGCTTGTGGAGCAAGCAGAGATGGGACATGTAAACCCAGGCAGTCCCTCACCACCAAGGTGTGTGGTGCCTTTCCCTCCTGTGACTGCTCAACCACTGGTCCCCTCTGCAGGCCCCAGTAGGTCCTTCCTCCTATACAAACTGCCTGGTGTGCTATGATGCTGATGTTTCTTAAGGTGGTTTGAGTGACAAGGAAGGCAGCATCATGTCACTGAGAGTGTCTGTGCTTTTTGGCAACCTCCTGTTTGAGATGGTGCCTTGGGTTGAGTGAGAAAGAGGAGCAGGGAAAGATGTGAAGCAGTAGGTATGTGGCAGGAGAAGGCTGCAGGGGCTCAGGAGAGGGTGAAGACATGCAGTGCAGAGGGGAGGCAGGGCAGTGGTGCTGGGAGTCTGCTAGTACACTGGTTTGCCTTGAGATCAGGCTTCAAATCCAATGGCATGTGGGCAAACCTGCAGGTCTTGGTCCTGCCTGTTGGTTCAACAGGTACAAAACTGGGCTCCGCATCCCTCTTTCCCACCTTGTCTTATAGAACTATAGAATGGTTTATGTTGGAAGGGACCTTAAAGCTCTTCCAGTTCCAACCCCCTTCTACAGGCCAGGACACCTTCCACTATGTCAGGTTGCTCCAAGCCCCTTTGTCCAACCTGGCCTTGAACACTGCCAGGGATGGGACAGCCATAGCTTCTCTGGGAACCCTGGGTGTCTCACCCAATGGCATTAGTACCTTGTACCTGTCCTGCATGGAGTGATGCTCATTGCTAGCCACTGCCTTGGGACCTTAGTGTGACTGCTGATGCTAAGGGCAGTCTGGACATGCATGGGTTTGCCCTGGCCAAAGATGCTACAGCCTGACCCCAGTAGCCCCCCAGCCCCTCTGTGCTCACCCCCTTCTCCCCACAACCTGGGCAGGGAAGGGGCCGGCGCTCCAGGGAGCTGTGACAGAATTACACACGAGCCCTGGAAGACACCCATGTGTCTCCAAACAAATGGGCGTAGTGAAACCAAACAAAAATAGGAACACCACTAAAATTAGCGGGTGTACTGCCAAGAAAGGACATCAAAGCAAGCCTCCAGATGGGCTGAGGAGATAGAGGATCCGTGCAGCATCAGAGGTGGGACTGCGAGGCACTATAGCAAACCAGGGGTGAACTAATTAAAACGAAGCAGGCGAGCGAGTCTGATGGGTCTCGGGGTCCCTCTTTCATCAGCAGGATTCCCGCCCCTCTGCTGGGAATGTCTCTGCCTTTCATTTTACAGCAAATGCTGCTGCTTCTTCCCTTTCCTCCGGGGCTGAGATGTGTTAAACCGTTAACGTCCTCATCTGCCTTTGCATAATTGAAGGGTGTGATAAGAAACAGAATGCAAAGCAAGGGGCAGCGTGACTGCCAACTGAGCAATCATTATTCCAGCTGAAACGGCTCCTCTGCCCTGGCTGATTTTAATTACTTGGATTCTGTTTGAAAGGGAATTGTGGTGTTTGAGGGGATGGGTTGCAAACATTGTCCCTGTCTGAAGTCTCACTGTATGGTCTGCTCCTCTGTTCGCAGCAGGGATGGGGCAGCTTCTCTGGCCGAGGGGGAATCATGGGGCTGAGCTGGACTGACCTTGTTCTCCGCATTTGCTTATATGTGGCTTTCTTTCTTTGTCTCCCTTTCTCTTTCCTTTTGACTGTGCAGGTCTTTTTGGTAGGCTTGCTGCGGCTGGACCCAGGCCAGGGTTGCAGGTTACTGAGGGCGTTATTTATGCCACAATAACAATGGGTATGGCATGCTTTCCAAACCTGAAGTGCCTTTAAAAGAACAAAACAAACAAAACCAAACCTCAAAACCCTCTCAGTTTTAACAAAGATGATCAGATGCCTCTCCTGGCATTGTCCATTACCCATGGCCATGGGTAACCACCTCTCCCCTCTCTCTGCCTCTGCTGGAAATACACAAGATGGCTTTTTTTTTGTCTTCCCCATGCTTAAGATGACAGCGAAGAGAACTTCCTTCCCTAGCTGTTATTCCCCTGGTTCTGGTCACTGATGTGGAGCTGATAGGTGGTAACACTGGCTGTATTGACAAGCAGATGTTCAGTGAATGTTGAAGGTGCTCTGCTTGGGCAGAGGCAGCTCTGCTGTATGAGATGGTTGGACCTTCCCACATCATGGTCGTGGGAAGACAAACAGGAAAGCTGAGGTGGATTAAAGACATTCAAGAACACGGCTGCCACTGGTGTCATGGCAGTGAGAGGATAAAACTGTGGTCTTAGTTGAAACTGCCAGTAGGTGGAAATGGAGACTTTGTACTGAAGTATATACTGCCTGAGCTGTATGACTTGGGATTGTGTGAAGCTTAGTAGTGACAGCAGTGTTGTCACAAGTCAACCAAGTAAGGTTTGTCCCTGTTTGCCAGCTACACTGTCTGGAAAACACCTTTCCATCATGAGGCCATAGTGGTATCACCAGGCCAGCAATGGCTGCAGCTCTTCAAGTAGAGAACAGTTCATCTTATGAGGCACTTGTGCTTGTGGCTGACACACGAAACAGCAGCCAGGGATCCTTCTGAGAACATAGAAGAAGAGTATTATTCCCCCAGGAGAAAGGTGGCAGCCTGGGACCAAATGGCTAGGTGAGGGGCACCAGAGACACCCAGGGGGCCTATCACTAACTGCCCCATGTTGATAAAGAGGCAGATTTATGAGATGAGGTTCCCTTAGGCATCCTTGTTGATGCATAAGGAAGGGTCCCTAGCAGTGCAGAGGTTCAGCTTCTTGGTATTTCTATGGGTGATAAACCTCAACACTTCTACTCCATCTGAACTTCTGACCAGGCTGCCCATGGACAAGGTCTGCATAGTGATAGTGCACTGGGGGTAATGTTTTCCCATAAAAGATGGACAGTTCAATACATTGAAGGTGTGAAGATGGTGAGGCAGTAGTGTGCTGTCAGCACCATTCAGAGGCTTTGAAAGGGAGTATTTGCTTTTTAATAAGCTTGTTTAATTGGTGCAGCTTTGATCACTTGAGGGATGTTATAGAGTGAGATTCCACTGGAGGTAAGGCTGTAGCTTTGTTACTGCATCTCAGTTCATTTTATCTTAAGAACAAATAAACCCAACTTAAGAAATGTTCTTCAGTGAAGCTCCAAATGCTTTTTTCCTCTTTTCTGGCTGCTTTTCCTCTTTTTAATTTGCACCAATCTGATAACATGACTTTTATGTGGGTATTAAGATTTGATGAGAATCAAAATTAGATTAAATTCTGGTAAGAAAAACTTAACGATATTCCTCCATGCTGTTTGGTAGGACAAGAATGCAAAACCCTACACAGATGCTGCCCAAATCTTACCATCTTGCTATGTGAGCTTATCTTGTGAATAAGAGCCATACTGTAAACCCCAGCAGGGCATTGCAAATTCCCCTGCGGTCAGTGGAAACATTTCATTGTTTCTCATGAGCTTGGTGCCAATGATCAGCTGAAAACTCCAACACCCTACAGTGTATTAGAGCTGGGAATCGCAGATCCCAACTCATCTTAACAACATAGCAATCCATTTAGGAATGAATATAAAAAATGTGATTACTCTTATTTGCTGCTGCAGCAGCACGTCCCTTCAAAACCCCTTGCTGTCCTGTAGGTGCTGGGTAGAAAGAGACCCATTATCCCAGAGAGGGAAAGTGGAATGACATCTGAAATACAATAGATTATTGCTTGTTGCATGGCCTCGCAAATACCATTTTTACTTCTGACATTCAGAGGACAAGGGCTGATTGTAGCTTGCTGTTGCCTTAAAAACTGTGAGTGTCTGGCTTTAAGTAGAAGGTAGAAAAAGCATCTTTGATGGTGGGGGAAAGCAGCAAACATCAGAAATGCTTAAGGGAATGTTCTTGAATTTGTGGTCAACTGAGAAGTGTCTTTTGAGTGTTTGCTAGCTATGAGGCACAAAACATTGCAATGGAATCAATATTGGGCTAGAAAGAAAAAGGGATCTGTGAAGGTTGTTATCCTATCAATTATGCTCCCGTAGGAGAACTTCAAAAGACACATCCCTATGCTGAAAGCTTTTGCATGTGTGAGCATGGCTGAGGCAAGCGCTAGGCTCAGTGTTGTCCTAGAAATGTACTTAATGACAGAGCTTTGCTTTTGTTATAGAAGATGGTGAAGCTGTTAGTAGCTCCTATGAATCTTACGATGAAGAAGAGAGCAGCAAAGGCAAGTCAGCAACCCACCAGTGGCCATCCACGGAGGCCACCATTGAGCTGATGAAGGATGCCCGCATCTGTGCGTTCCTGTGGAGGAAGAAGTGGCTGGGACAGTGGGCAAAACAGCTGTGTGTTATCAAGGACACCAGGCTGCTGGTGGGTAGATCCTACACTCTGCCTATAGCAACCTGTTTTCATGAGCTGGGGAGGGAAGTGGCACCTCAGGCCATGTTAACTAGCTGGCAAAAACAAAGTACCTCATGTAACATGTCCCAAAGATTTGGTCTTATCATTTCATTTTCAGAAGGGACATGTGCATGGGGCTGCTGAGGGGGAAACAAGGTCACATTTGCAACCAAAATCCCAAACTCCCAAAATACCTAGAGATGCTTTGGGGGAAACTTTCTGAGGTGGTTAAGGGAGAAGGGATGTTTATCCCACTGGCTGACCACATACTTCACCCTCCAGGAGTATCTACGAGAGGTATTTCGGACTATATGTTGCATCTACATAGATGTATATCACTATAGACATGCCGTGTGTGTAGTCTGTGTAGGCATCACAGACTTGTGGGACCTATAGGACTTTCTTGTGCTCAGCACACTTAATGCGTGTGGTTGCACTGAGCTGCTTCTAGGGTTGAGTTTGTGCCAGTGAGTGAGAGGGAAGGCTCCTCCTCAACCTTTTACCTGTCCTCCCATCTTCCTTCCCCAGTGCTACAAGAGCTCTAAAGACCACAGCCCTCAGCTGGATGTGAATTTGCTGGGCTGCACTGTCATTCACAAGGAAAAGCAAGTGAGGAAGAAAGAACACAAGCTGAAGATCATCCCCATGAATGCCGACGTCATCGTGCTGGGGCTGCAGAGTAAAGACCAGGCAGAGCAGTGGCTCCGGGTCAGTGGCGCCTTCCATGCTCTTACCCTGGCTTTGCTGGGAGACTATCTTATCTCAGTCTTGTCCTTGTGTGCCCTGGCTCCCTTCCTCCCTGCAAGCCTGTATACAAATACACCACTTTATTTCCATGTCCCGGGATAGCTTCTTCCTGCAGCTCCCTGCTGCCTTCTGTGTGCAAGAGGCTGTGGAGGGACCTCCCAGCCCAGCTGCTGGAGGAGGGATGTCTGGGATGGGTGCCCAACATGACTTGGCTGAGGACAGGGGGAGATCTGGCCCTTTCCCTCAGACAGCAGCAGCAGAAGGAGCCTGGGGCTGCAAGGGGCCAAGGCCACCATTGCTGGCAGCTTCTTCCTGGGTGAGTTGGATCCATCAGTTTTGCTGGCTGCCTGCTGCACCACCAGGAAAGTCCCTGGGATTGCCAGCAATATAAACTGTGGGTCTCCCAGGCTGCTGTGGTTCTGCCTGTCCTGGGTGGGGGGCAAGTACTGACCCGTTACTGCAGCTCTCTCACAGGCTATGGCTTGCTCTTCTGCACAGGTAATCCAGGAGACCAGCGGTCTGCTGTGTGAAGGAGGCAGTGAAGGCAACCAGTACATCCCAGATTCGCAGCGGCTCAGTTACCCAAAGGTACACCTTGTATGTACAGAGGGAATTAGCACTTCAGCTTTTCCATCCTGTTCCTTCAATCATAGAATCATAGAATGGTTAGAAAGGACCCTAAGTTCATATAGTTCCAACCCCCCTGCCATAAATAATAGTTGTAGGCGTAGTAATTTTATCTGAGCACAGACTGATATGAGTGTAACCAGACCCCTGTTCTGCTGAGTTATTGGAGCAATAGTAATTTTTCTTTGCAGCCTTAGTTTTGTTGCCACATCTTACCCCAAAACTGACTCAGCATTGGGCTCTCTTCCATACAAGGCAGCAGACACTACCTCATCCAATGGGACAGTTGTGCTCCCTAATTGTTTTGGAAGGGTCATAGACTCTTGCATGCCAGTGCTCAGGCCAGCCTCTAGTCAAAGTTTAGATGACACTCTCCGGGGAGGTACAACTTGTTCCAAAACACTGGGAGGTGAAAGAAACCTTCTGAAGTCCCTGGTGGACACCCAAAATGGACCTGTTTGGGTACCTGGGCAGTTCCTCTGCCCATGCCCTCCTACAGGGACTGGAGCCAGGCTGCAGGATGGAAGGCCATAGGGTGACACTGGTGGTGCCACCACGTCATCTCAAAGGTGAGCCCAGCTGGGCAGTTCATGTGCTGGGATCAGAAACAGTGGGGAGGGCACAGCATGAGAAGGCAGGTAGGGGATGTCCGTGTGGAGAGGGGGGGAAAAGGCAGTTGCACCGGGTGCTGGCTGGAGGGACGTGCCACGTCCATCTGTGGAGCTTGTGTCTGGTGCCTGTTGGCAGGTGGAGGTGTCTGAGAGGTACTCTGCAGCCTCCGAGAGCGGGAGCAGCACCGACGGACACCCGGAGACAGCCGAGACAAAGGATGGTAAACCCTCACCCTGGGAATGGCAGGGAAACGGGGATCATCGACCCTGCGTGTGGCGAGGGTTTCGTGTTTGCCGCCGCCACCTCAGACTGACCTGATGCAGGGTGAAAGCCGCGTGTGAATTCACTGCTGTCAATTTGATTTCAGTTCATTGTTTTCCACAATGCAGTGACAGAGGTTGGGATTTCTCACAGTTACAGAGTTAGGGCAGGGCTTGAGAAACCTGGGCATGATACCTGCCCTACCACAGAGATGCTGCGTGACTCTGGGCAAGTCACTTTGGGACAGCTTGAGATGGCATAAATGGCATGAATAAGTGACTATCCTCAGAGATGTCTGCAGAGAAACTTGGAGTGTGAAATGCTGAGCTGTCCCCAGTGGGAGAGTTGCACCTTCGTGCTAGGGCATCTGACTCTGGGCTTTAAGCTCCATTCCCCATCTCTAAGATAGGGCAAAGTAATTACATTATAAAAGGAGATGCTCTATTAGAAGGATGGTGGGACCATCTATGTATCAGAGAGAAAGATAAATCCATGCTGAGGACTCAACTGAAGTCAGATGGAGCTTGGCTGCTGAGTCCCCTTACACTGGGAATTCACCATCTTGTTACAGCAGCAGTAAGGAAAATCTGGACTAAAAACATCCAACTTGATTTCTTACCATGATTATCTGATGATTATGCAGCCATATTCATGCATTGATGTGCTTGGTAGGAAAATGCTGTGGAGAGGCTCACTGGGCATCAGCTTTCACTCTCCCCACCTTAAGTCCCTCTTTTAGAAAGGCAAAGGCTTAAATGCAGTAAATATTTATGGATAATGGTTTTTAATCCCACTCTTTGTAGTATAAGAAAGCGAAGGGAAGTTGATACCTGCACGGTCAGACCTGTGCAAACAGCCTTCATGCAGCAACTGGAGTTGGTCAGAACTAACCCAAGTTTAAAGCAATATAGGTTAAGTATCTTCAGCAAATCACTCTGAGATTACTGGTGCCGTCTTGCTCATCATGTCCCTGGGCTTTGGACTATTGCAGCCTGTCTCTGAGTGGCAGGTTTGCCCTTTGCAAGGGATGTGTGCTGCAGTGCTGTTGGGTGCAGGACAGCAGTGCAGGCAGCTTTGGGGCAGGACACTGAGCTGGGACAGCAGGCTGTGCGTATGGCTGTGAGTTAGGAAAGCCACACATATGTCTCTCTCTCTTTTTCTTCTCTGGTAGTTAAGAAGAAAGGCACAACTGGCCTGAAACTGAGCAATCTGATGAACCTCGGGAGGAAGAAATCCAGCTCCCTGGATAGCCCAGAGAAATCCCTGGAGACTTCAAGTAAGTGGCAGCATGAGCTCCTCTGTAGGGACTTGTCTTGGTGCTGGATCTTGGTGCACAGGGCAGGATGAGCACCACGCATCCTCCTTCTCGCACACACACGTGCCAGGCTGTCCTGAGGAAAAGCAGCCACAGTCTGCTTGGTCTGTGCCAGTAAATCCATACAGGTTGTGGTGCCTCTTACACATTAAGGTGACTGAGTGGCTTACAAGGGGGACAGGGTGACCCAGGAGGAAGGGCAGGCAATACCAGATGTGCATGCAGAGGGCATCTGTGCTGCTCTTCCTGGGCATTAGCATGGGATGTAGGAGTCAGCAGGGAGAGAGTTGTGTGGCTCAGCTGGCATTCACCATCTGGGACCAGCTTTGTCCAACCTTCTGCAGCCAATTTGAACCTAACCTGAATTTCAAGGGTCTCATTTTGATCAGATTTTTACCCTTTTCATCCTGTTTGGTATGGATAGGACAGCTTGTGCTTTTGCTCTTCGTTGTTGCCTGCACCTTTGTGTTGTGTGTTGATCTCAGAACTTAGCCATCGGACATCCTCATGAGCATAAATGAGTTTGGATTCCCTCTCCCTGTGGGGTAGAAAATGTGCCTAAGTAACCCATGCTTGCTTGCAGGTTACCTGAACGTGCTAGTGAACAGCCAGTGGAAGTCCCGTTGGTGCCAGATAAAAGATGGTCACCTCCATTTCTACCAGGACAAGAACCGAAGCAAACTGGCTCAGCAGCCTCTGAGTCTGGCAGGTTGTGAAATTATCCCAGAGCCAAGCCCTGATCATCTCTACTCCTTCCGCATCCTGCACAACGGGGAAGAACGGGTCATTCTGGAGGTAGGGTGCATATCTGCAAGACAGTTTGGCTTTAAGTTGTCAGCTTGGCTGTCTTGGTAGGCCTAAATGCTGGTGAGGTCCTTCAGAGGAACCCTCAGTCCAGAGAAACAGAATCTGAAGCGAGGGACTTTGGTTCATCTGCCTGTGGTCACCTAGAAGGTGCCCCACCTAGTTGTCAGTCCAGCCTGTGTCTGATGCTGGTGCCTCCAGAGGACCATTCAGCCTTCATCTTAGGCACTCATCTTAGGATGGGATGAAGGGTCCTCTGGAGGTGCCCATCTCTCTCCACTGACTATAGGATAACCTCGGACAATTAAGTTTCAGATAGCGAATGTTAGATGAGAGAAATGCCACTTCAGGGCTTTAAGTCTGTGGTTAGGACAAACAGAGAACTTCACCTTCTGCAAGCAGAAGCCATGAGTTGTGCATCCCAAGTAAACTGATCGCAGATCTGCCCCTGGAAGTGCAAGTGAATTCATCTCCATCTGTTACTTTCCTTTGCCTGCACCCAGGACTGTTTATCTCTAATCTTAGTTCTCTCTGACGACAGCCTGATTATAGTAGGAGGTGGACAATGTGAGCAATTTCCTGTATTTTTCCAGTGGGTGGAATATTTATAGCTAAACAACTGACTTCAAGGGCCTGCCATGAAGTTCGAAGGTGTTTTTGTTTAGCTTCTGGTTCAGGGTATGTCTGTGTCTAAGGAATTTTGCCTAATTACAGGTGTGAAGAAGAGGTGCTGGGAAAATCCACATTTTGTGAATGGAAGAATCTGTATTTTGTACAGGCTGGCAGGCTTCCCAGGGACTCAAGTCTCTGCTAAATAAAACAGATTGAAAGCTTAAAATATACTTTCCAGTTTGGGATTTGCTTGCCCTGAACTTTTTGTGCTTACTGCTCTGACTCTTTAAATCAAAGCAAAAGATGGCTGCATCTTCTTGCTTCAGGTAGAAATCCCCCACTACCAGAATCCCACACTACCATGTGGCTCTTTACTATAGCTGGCTACAAGGCACCGTATTTAACTCTTCATTGTGTAAAACGTCAGGGTGTTCATTTGGTACTGACCATGCCAAAGCGAGGGGCTGTCTTTGGTGTTCTCTGATCCTGCTTTAAACTCCTCGCTTCCCCTCTCCCCTGTGCCAACAGCCCTGGAAGGGGTTTGGGCTCTGCCATAAGGAACTGGCAGGCTCCCTGGTGTGCTCAGGTCTCCTTGCATGTCTGTGTTTGGCAATCCTATTGCTGCGCTCTGCTGGTGCAAAATAAATCCCGCATGCTTTCCTTCCCAAAGTCAGCTCTATGCCAGCATCTCCAGCCCCAGAGACTGCTCTTACTCTTGTAAGCAGCTGAGTTGATCATCATTGAAAGGAAAATGCAGGCTGAGTAGAAATTTTAGGAAATTTTAGGAAAGAGTTAAGCAAAGAGCTGCATTCATCTTCCAAATCAGCCCATACACAGAGGGGTACTTCTTTCTTCTTTTAATGCAGCCTCGGGTTTAATATAACTACTCAGCAGTTCATCTTTCCCCTTGCAAGCCCAGCATGCTTCCCTTCGCAGGGCTAAGGCAGCATCAGCCTTTGGAGTGCAGAGAAACTGCTGTTACAACCTGTGTTGTCTCTCTGATCTCCCCACAGGCCAAGTCCTCGGAGGAAATGGGTCACTGGCTGGGCCTCCTCTTGTCAGAGTCAGGTTCAAAAACAGACCCGGAGGAATTTACCTATGATTACGTGGATGCTGACAGGGTTTCCTGCATTGTGAGCGCCGCGAAGAACTCCTTCTTGTACGTCAGTGGGGATGGGTGGGGATGCATGGGGCTGGTAAGGGGAAGCAACCAGAGCTGGGGTTCCTCAGCTTGTGGGAGGTTGGCTGCCATGGGAAGGGGTGGTCAATTCACAGCTCAGTCGCTATCTTTGGAAGCTCAGTGCGGGACAGGACAGCACTCATTGTGCCACCATGGCACATCTAACCCTTGCCATAGGGCTAGGGCACATGCCTAGGTGGTTCTTGCGAACGCAGGTTGGTGGGGTGGGCTTGGTTGATGGACCTGATGTAGTTGAAGATGTCCCTGCTCGTTGCTTGGGGGTTGGACTAGATGAGCTTTGCAGGTCACTTGCAACCCAAACTGTTCATGATTCTATGTGAGGCCATGGGCACCCAGCCATGTGGTTCACTGTGCCACTGGGACAGGGCAGTTGCGCTGCTGCAGTGCTGTGCCTGAGGGTGGGTGAGAAAGAGACAAGAGGAAATGTAACAGCAGCAGTGTGCACATATTGCTGCATGGCTCCTGCATCTGACCATGTGGCCTTGCCCAGACTCCAGGACCACTGTGCTCAGATGCCCCAAAATGCAGCACATCATGGCCATGCAGCACGACCTGATGGGATGTCCTGCTTCTTGTTTGCAGCTTAATGCAGAGGAAGTACTCTGAGCCCAACGCCTATATCGACAGCCTGCCGAAGGGCAAGGTGCAGCAGGAGGAGCTGTACGATGATGTGGATCTGCCAGACCTGCCCGTGGTAAGATGCTGCAGTGCATCATCACCCAGTGCTGCACCATGGGCAAACATCTGGCCAGGGGGAGTCTCCAGCAGTGAAGGGGATTCCCTGGCCCTGGGGAAATCCAGGCTTTTGCAATGGGGCAAAGTGAATGCTGGAGAAGAGGCACTAAAGAATGGGAGAGAAATTTCCAGCAGGGTGCTGTAGGGATCCTCAGGCAGCTGGGATAAAATCTCACCGTATACATCAGCAAACAGCGCGCATTATTTGGTGATTGATAGTGGCTTGTTTGGAGCCTGGTCTATCAAAATTCCTTTTGATACCTGTAAGAACAAGTGTGTAAGGACAAGGAAAAGAGGGACTATGCTGGAGATGGGACTGTTATCCCAGGAAAGGCAAAAAATCTGGCAGGGGTTGCTAGATGTACAACAGCATGAGATCCTTGGATGGGGCTGCTGCTACCATTGGAAAGACCTATTGAAGATGAGTAGGAGGGACCTTTCTTTCAGTACACCAAAAAGCCCTCTATGGAATGACGTAGAGAATGGGGTTTTAGTTCCTCTAAGGTTTATGGAAAACACTCCAGATTGCCTGAGATGATGCTGCTCTGCAGTGAGATGTTTCCTATACTTCTGGCTGCAGCAGATGGTGTGATTTTAGGCGAACATTCTCCTTTTGCAGGAAGAATTACCCAAGAGTGAGAGCAAAGCAGAGGGAGACCAAGACAGAGTGTACCTGGATCTCACCCCAGTGAAGTCCTTCCTGCACTGTGCTGGCAAGATGTCATGCCAGCCTTCACCCCTCAGCTCACCATCTTTAGAAAGGGCTGCCAACAAGGCTGCAGCAGAGAGCACAGCCGAGCCAGCCCTTGTGCCTAAGGAAGCTGAGCCCTGTAGTAAGGAGACGGAGACCTCGGAGCAGGTACTGCCTTGGACTGTGGTGCGGGGCCAGGCTTAACCAGTGAGCCAGTTCCCTCCACCACATCATCCCACTTCATTTCTCCCCCCAGAAACAGCCAGAGAAGCCAGAGCCCGACGAGGCTCTGCCACGGGTGCCTGCTGTCAAAATCCAGACACAGCAGCAGAACATCGCCTTCCCCCAGCCAGCCGCCGAGCCGCCGCTGGGCACAGGGACAGCGGGCAGCCCTCAGCTGGTACCCACACACCGGCCCAAGATGCCGCTGCCGGGTGAGCGGGTGACATGGGTGCCTGCAGCAGGGAGGGAGGGAAGTGGTGCTCTGGGTGAGTTTTGCCCTGTGGTTCACTTGCTCTGCTATACAGCAGCTTTACCCAGGGCTGAGGAGTCTCCTGGTTGGTGACTTTCCAGACCCTCATTGATCCAAGAAGGTTTTGCCTCCTG